AACAGGTTATAATAATACATTAAAAACAAGATTATTGTCGTTGCTTTCATGAGCCGGGGTATTTTAAAATGCAGTAAGTAATTTTATAAACTTGTATTACGTCTAGAGAAATTATCTAAAGTAATGTGGATTTATAATATCTTTAATTTTGTTTTATTCTATACTAGTTTTCTCCTGTCCAAGAGGATTAAAAAAAAACAAGTAGCCTATGTTCCAGACTATCTACATAAATGCTAAATTTAATCGAAATCCCTTCAGCTGTTTAGGATACAAACTTACAAACATTCATCTAAACTTTCGCATTTATAATACAGTAGTGCCTCGATAAGTTAAGGTCCAAGGGAAACACAAAACATTAAGTTATAGAGGTTTTAAGTTAACAAGGGTCTTTGTTGCAGAAGAGGCTCTGATGGGAAGGGAAAATATTATTTTTTGAAGTTATGGAGGTTTTTAAGTTATCGAGTTTCTACTGTAGTATATGGTATTATAAAGAAATAAAATTGCTGAATATTCCTAGTTACGTTCGATTCTCTCAGAATTATGAGATTAAGTGTTTTATCTTGGTGTATTATTGTTACCATTTTTGATTGTATTTACTGTTTGTAATAATATACTTTACTTGCACCTTCTACGTATAAATAATACAGTACGTTTGAAATTTGAAAGCGGCAGTCCGCAGATACCATCAGTAGGGGGAACTTAAATTGACTTTCAAACACGTTAGGGGCCCAGACTGACGTTTAATATTGAATTACCTTCACCCCACATCGACACGTAAGAATTTAAATTATATTACGATGGCCTTAAATGTTTTAGAACACCTAAAACGCTAGTTAAGGCTTTACTTTTCAATTCAATTTAACTAGATGGCGTTGTTATCAATTTTGAAAAATCTGACAAGATTTAAAACATAATGGATTTGATGCTATCTTTAAAACGTTTATCGATTAACGACCTACTTAAGGTTAAAAATAACTGTACTACACAAAGTATGCCAAGGACGTGCGAAATAGAATTTTATAATCTACCCTCTACATCAGTGGTTCCGATAACCGAAGACTTAGTTCGTATAACAGACAAAATTACAGACATTAATATTTGACGTCTCTGTTTGATTAGAAAGAAGAAAAAAGACGGACAATGTACAATTGAGGTGGTCTGCATGGAGTCGAGCTAATGAACTCAAGGTGAACTTTTCAAGTGCATAGAACAAGGTCTGTCGCTTCTAGACATTCTTAAGTCTTCCTTCTTACCCTCATTTCACAATACAATGTTGAATTTTCGATATCATCGAAGAATTTTGTTTCAGAATTAGTAACACAAGTAAGATACTTGGCAAGTTTACTGTTTACTATGATGAATATGTTTAATTACGTTGCATGGCATTGACGTCAGAGGTCACGGCTGGTGAATCTAATGCACTCTACATTGCACTTGCGTTTTGTTCTAAGACGCTTCTTCCACTAAACGCGCTTCTGCGCACGATTGCAATTTAATCGCGGACGCACTAGTGGAAACCAACTGCGTGAGCAGATTAGCGTGTCTGTTCGTTTACTGGAAAAAGGTCTTATCTATATTATATGTATACTACTATAATAAAGCGTAAACACACACTTCTTTGTTGCCTAAGATGTCAGCAATTATAGGAGATTTTTTGAAGAATCCTTTTTTTTTTAAATAAAAAGCTCTACACTTACGTCACGCTTTAAGCTTTATATTTTATCGCTATTAAACTTAGGGGGTAAATATTTTGGATATAAATCCTAATGTGGGAAAGAGACCATAAGTTGCTGCCAACATCAAGGAAGCAAGATTATCTAGCTCATGTCATTTTGACATTTGATAATTTGACAAATGGAAACAATAAAATAAAATATTCATAATTTCATGCGGATGAAGCCGCACGGGAACAGCTGGTTAAAAATTAAATTAATAAGAAAATGTTTGTTAATTTCGTGAGTGTAGCTGTACTTATTAACAAGAGTTGAGACTGCATCTTACAATTGTAAAGCTTGTATACAACATATTGACCATGTATGTGTATAATGAAGCCGGCAACCAACGGACAAACTGCATGAAGCCATATAGATAATCTATCAGTGTCAATTAATTCCCTTTATTACAAGTACATACATTTGATGGAGTTACAATAAAAATCTGTGAACATTATTTAATCAAAATCGTTCAAGAATAGAGTAAAGAGTACGCATATACATCATTTTTTTTAAATTTCCACCCTTCATTTTCATGTAATTAAAAAACTAAGTTAGTAGTAACATAACCTATACTATAATCTATCTGTATGCCAAATTTAATTTAGATACCTTCAGCCGATCTGAAGTTATCTGGTAACAAATATATTAACAAATTACTAAGAAGTCACATTAAATAAACCTAATGGGCTCAGTTATACAGTCAGCTACATAAATATGTATTTACAAAAGTTTAGAAACTTGCATAGGTGGTGTTCGTATTTTAAGTTTCAAATATAAACATACGCATAATTAAAACCGAAAGCGTATTTTCTGTAATTTGGTACTCACATTTATGGAGCTGACTGTACTTTGCGGTATAGCCAATAATACTAAATATGCAGTGTCTGTATTATTATAAAGCGTAAACATACACTACTTTGTGGCGTAGGATGTCAGCAATCACAGTATATTTAAAAAAAAAAAATCTTTAATTAAAACTTACGAAACGCTTTAGGCTATATATTTTCACGCTAAACTTAGGGGTAAATGAATTAGAAAAAACCTTCATGTGGGAAAGGGACCATAAACTACAAGCTGCCAACATTAAAGAAGTCAGGTTACTATGGTAACGGTAATTTCGACATTTGAATTGAAAGAATTTGACAAATGTAAACAATATAATAAAGTTTTCATAATTTCATGAGAATAAAGCCATCTAGAACATCTAGTTTTAACAAAATATACAACCAGGTTAACTTGTTTGTTTTGAAAACCATTCATTCAGACATTTCACACATGCCTACGCGCCGATTTAACTGTACGAAGCCGTTTTAACGTTCAAACTTAAATAACTAACGAATATATTAACTAACTCAGGTAAACATTTATATTTGAACTATTCACGTAATTTCCATGACCTTTTAGAGGTCGGTATTCAAATTTATATATGTGAAGAAGTCTATCATTTTTCAAAAACATTTTTCAAAAATTATTACAGTTTTAATATAATTAAAACACTATTAATAATAATAATCTTACACTGATTAACAACTATTAATTAAGTCCCTAACTAATAATAAACTATATAACAAAAATAATACTTGTTTTAAATGCTAATCAAAACCCAAACATACTTCCATTATTCCTTAGGTAATTAAAAAAAATCATAACGTTATTTAAACACGAATTAAAAAACGAGATATAAAGATAGCTGAAACGTTCGATTATTTTTTAAATCCACTATAATCAACACATATAGCAATTAAAATAAAATAATAAAAAGTCTGCAAATAATAAATGGTAGGTTGTCACTACACATACGAGCGATGGGTCATCTTATGGCCCAGATGGTAGTGTCAGTGTATTATGGCTAGCATGCAGTCTGCACGCAGCGTTGTCGCTGCTTGCAGGCTGCAAGCAGACTGCGGCATTCCCGGAGTGCAAGGCAATGCAAGCGAGCTAGCGAATCTGTAGCTAGCTCGCTTGCAGGTGGGAAACCCCCTGCGCGACCCCTCGCGCGCGATGAGATTCTAGACTTTGTATACGTCGATATCGGTGTTTATGTCTATTTCTGTCCATAGTACGGGATATCTATATATGAATTCTAGCTGTTGCTCGCGACTTCGTCCGCGGGATTTAAAAAAAAAATTAAAAGTATAGCCTATGTTACTCAGTGATAACATAGCTTTTTAATGGTGCAAGAATTTTCGAAATCGGTCCAGTAGTTTTTGAGTTATTCCAATACATACAAAAATACATGTATTGTATAGTATGTATCGCAAGAACTCAAAAACTACATAGCCGATTTTAAAAACTCTTTCACCGTTAAAAAGGTAATTTATCTGTGAGTAACATAGACTATTTTTTTTTATTTTTTTATTACACGCGGGAGAAGTCGCGAGGAAAAATAATACATACATCTATCATAAAACAGTCTTTATTGCTGTTTGTTATTTATCAGTAAAAAATAATTTTGAGAAAAAAAAAACATCCGACTGTCGAGGTCAATGACTGAGGAATTGTATAGTCTGTTCCCTTACACGCTTGTTCCTTAATGGTTGATTAAACTAGCCCTTAATTGTATTTTTCTTACCAAATCTACACTAAATGACCAATTTAACGTTTGACATCTATAATTGTTTAGACGAAAGTTGTATAGTAAAAATATTAGAACAAGGAAAAGAAGTAACTCTATTAGTACAAAATTGACATAACTTAAAACCTTTTAGCACACCCATATTTGCTAACAGCCTATGACAACGTTCTGCACGATATTATACTCTATTACGTTATATTAAGGTCTCAATTGTAACCAACGTGTAACGCTAAAACCCGTAGCCCAGCTTGCGTCTGCGTGAGACTACGCAATGTATTGATTTGCACCAACTCTTCACAATGATGGCGGAATGCGGGAGAGATTTCCCCAGTACTGGGATAGGCTTTCAGACTGCATGGTACAGATGTATTGTACTACTATTTGAAATTAAAAAAAATGTTTTTTTTATATGCAACGGCAGAAAGATAACTGGCAGCTTCAACGCAGACCAAGCTTTACGTTAGAGCAGCTAGTGACAGTTTTAAGAAGCTAAAACTGCCTATTTAATAATTTAAATAAAATAGTAAAATATTCAGCTAAAGAAAAGAAATAAATTTAACAATACGTCATTTGTCTGGTTGCAATCATTTAAGTACGAAATTTACACGCGCAATCAAAACACAAACTCAACCAGGTGTATTCCAATGCCGTGATTAACATAAAATTGTACTCTACGCTGTGATAATAGGATACATTTTTCAGTAACTCACTTAATGATTCCATCCTCAACATACACGTCTGCGTCCTCCATGCCATCATCGTTGACGACACGACCATTTTTGATCAGAAGGCGGTTCTGTGAACTCTGCAAAGAAAACAAACAAATCAATACTTGTTTAACTAGTTGACTAAACCAATCTAGATACATTTCTGGTAATCTTACTAATATTATAAATGCGAAAAGATGGATGTTTATTAAAGTTTGTAGCCTAAACTGCTGAACGGATCTGGATGAAATTTGGCAAAGATAGTCTGGAAGGACACATGGTATGCCCATGTGTCCTTCGTTTGTTTTCTTTATTCCACGCAAACGGAATCGCGGGCGAAAGCTAGTGTAAGATATTTTTATATTACAGTTTAATAGGTTTATATTTGCCCGGAAATTGTAAACCTCAAGACCTAACGGAATAAGATTTGACTGTATACAAAAAGACGCTTTAGACGAATATAAAACTACATCTATGTTTCTGTATTTCATGAGTGGAAACACAAATTAAATTATTATTGAATTTTTTAACAATCTCGTATTGAGCTGGCGTTCCACGTCCCAAGCTTTATTTAGCTGAATGCAAATCTTTAAAAATAACCTGTCTTTGTTAAATGCATCTTAATGTGGGTTTCCATTGCCAAAATATGTACAATAACGATTTCCATCCTTCTCGTTATCAGAAACAACGTTTAGAAGACATGTTTCGGAAACTCACGGTTCCATTTATTCGAAATTTATTGACAAGACAATGGTAAACAAATGTACATTTTGGTTTGGTAAAAAAAAACCACTAGCTTTCGCCCGCGACTCCGTCCGCGTGGAATTAAAAAAACAAAAGTGAGTAGCCTATGTGTTCTTCCAGACTATCCTCTACATCTATACCAAATTTCATCGAAATCCGTTCAGCCGTTTAGGCTACAAACTCTAACAAACATCCATCCATCCATCTAAACTTTTGCATTTATAATATTAGTATGATAGTATGATTACAAATAATACTACGTTTACAGCTCTATTCTCTATCTTTATATTATTATATATCTTTGCACTATTTACGGGTATAACAAAAACTTTTTAATAAGTACAACCATTATACTGGTTTTCACTATTGTTTTCATGTAATAATGCACTACATTTCCACTTATAAATGTTGCAAAATTTAAAAAGTGAGCATTTTGAATTATTTTCATTACTATAAATACAAAATGTCAACGACCATCGCAAGGATTCAGCTAGCGAAAGGATATGCTAAATATGTACTTCTGCTAATCTTAGTGTAATACTCACTTTAATATTAACACCGGAAACGGATGTAGCCGTACAATCAACTGTCATATTTAATGACGCCATACGTCAGAAAAATTCGCAAGGAATTCCGACCGGATATAAAAGAAAATGGCGGACGCTTTCCTACGACCGACGCGCCCTCGTGCGGGTTTTACACTGGGATTGAACGACGCCGAAAATACACTCCCCTCGCAAGCGTAGCGTGTTTTAGTTAGAAAGTGACGAAGGATGCACGCTATCCTCTAACCATTTAACTGAATTTTGATATCTTTGTTTATTTTGTAATATAAAAGATCCAATACTAATCACACATTACATTCTACATACTACATATTGCTCGCGACTTCTGCGCGGAATTAAAAATATTGTTACTCACCGAAAATTTAGCTTTTCAATGGTGAAAGAAATTGCGAAATCGGTTTATTAGTTTTTGAGTTTATTAACCAAAAATACAAATCTTTTTTTTAAATCTAAAACGTAGATTTCTGTTTCATTATTAACCGTAATCTTTACTATATTTTTCTATGTTTCAGTATTTATTTCATTACACTAATAAAAACAAAAAAGGTAACCTTAAAAATTCGCTTAAAAATCGCTTTTTACAGGGTAGATATAGATACTAAAGAATCCCTTTTTGTTAATTAAGCAAATTTCATGGAAAACCAAACAGGGGTTGTCTAATTTATTTGCATTGACCGCGAAATGTTGCGTGTGATAAAGGGAAAGTCCGAAAACCGCAGGTCTTTCTAAACCGCAAGGGGGCGCTGTAAATCGAAAGCTTACCACAAGCTATACTATAATACAGGATTTAATAATACAGCTTATTAGTTTTAACCTTTAGAAAACAATATAACCTGGCCAGTAAAATAGAAAAGCTTTCATGTACCTTTTTTCGCCTTTGTTACATTCGATAAGTAGGCAAATATTACATTGTTTAAGTTTACGGCAACTTAATATTAATTTTAAAACCTTACGAAAGTTACTTGCCTAGTACATTTTTTTATTTTTAGTCTAGTTTTAAACAAAATCTAGCTTTATTTAACTTAGCACGAAACATAATGACTCTTAAATGTGTATTTTTAAAGGTAACGCTTAGACGAATTTATAAGATACTAAAATCTTGCCATTTTTAACTATATAGTTATAAGCTACTAGCTTTCACCCGCGACTCCGTCCGCGCGGAATGAAAAGACAAATGTAAAAAGTAGCCTATATGTTCTTCAAGGCTATACTCCACATCTATGCCAAATTAAATCGAGACCCGTTCAGCCGTTTAGGCTACAAATTCTAACATCCATCCATAACTTTTGCATATAGAATACTAGCTGTTGCCCGCGACTTTGTCCGTGTGGTTCCCGGGATAAGAAGTAGCCTATGTGTTCTTCCAGACTATGCTCTAAACCTGTGCCAAATTTCATAGAGATCCTTTCAGTCGTTTAGGCTTCAAACGCTAACAAACATCCATCTATCCTTTCGCATTTATAATATTCATATGATTATATGATAATAGTAAGAATTAAGATAAGTACATTGATTAATTTTCTTAGTACTTTTAAATGCTTCCTTTTGTTTTAAATTAGAAAAAGCTGATGTCTTTACCAACTCGATTTTCATTTACAAGAAAGTTGTAATAAATGTTGACCATGTTGAAGATGATCGAAAGTGTGTAATGCGCCTTAATTAGTGTCTACAAGGTGCGATCAACTTACAAGTTTAACTTTAAATCAGGTTAAGTTTATAAAAACTTAACCGCATCTAGAAATACAAGTGCAAGTGAAAATCAATCTTTCGTATCACTTTCGTACTCGATACTGTTAATGAATTTAAAAGTTAAATTAAGTAATTTTAAGTGTTAGAGTCCGCTTTAACATCTTCGCACGAATGGGCCGGCTAGCCCGGTGTAATACCACGACCACACAGAAAACAGCTGAAGTGGAAGTAATTCCGCGTTTCGTCTGAGGGGTGTGGTATCGGAGGCCTAATTTTAGTCCCTTTCCCTTTCCACCCTTTTCTTAAGAGGAAAGGATGGGAAGGAAAAGTGGATTTGACGGTGGAGACGCATAGGAAGGGGAAATGTCCTCTTTATGTGCGTCTCCTCCTCCGTTAATCAACGCATCTGCAATTGCGGATTTTTATGGGCAGTGGTCTCTTTCCATTTAGGTGGATTGAGGTGGCCGCTTGCTCGTCTGCCACCCTATATTATAAAAAAAAAAAAGTTTAGCATTGGATAAAAACGGCAATAGCATGTTAAGAAACGTATCGGAAACAGCGAAGCCAAGTCAAAGATCTTAAGGAAGTGAATTCAGATATAACAGCGAGATGGAAGAGAGCACATTCTGCACTGACCCTCAGTAGGTACAAGGGCAAGCTAAAGATGTGTTCTAGGGATCCAGATTGGACAGACTACACTAAATTTTTAATCCCTACTACCTTCAACATTTTGTAGCTAAGCAAATTTAATCAACGGTAGAACATTGTGCGGTCCATTTTCGCTTTTCATGTCCTTTAGGTTAACTTTGGCTTCGGTTTTGGTTCGCTTTTACGGTGTTACAGCCTTAATGGTGAGATTCTGGCGACATCGGCAGACTTAATAGGTAGCAGTACTTTGTAGTATTACTCGTAATTTGTATGGAACAGTTGGTTATCGGAGTAAACAGCAGTTGTCAACTGCTGCGTACATTGGAATTTCGCCCTTCATGTAAAATTACGCGCAGTTCCGACTTTTATATGAATAAATAAATTAATTACTACTTTTTATTCAAAAGAGGGGTTTTATACGCTACAGTTAGTTCACTGTGCGTTATTTTGAAATTTAATTACTGCGTATATTTCAAATGTCTATACAAATTGAATAGGGTAGTGTAATTATTTCCCTCAAACCATATACCTTATAGAGTAGACAGGAATGAGTAATCGAAACATGCTTCACAATGTAAAGCATGTTTTACATCGACGTAGATTATATGTTAAATATAAAAATGGCGTCATTCCACACATAATGACCTTGGTTAGTGTTCCCACGGGTTAAGTCTGTATTTAACATTCCGATTCTTTAACATAATAGTTAATTTTTCACACAAAAGGTCGTATAATAACTTCATACACAGCGCATCAAGAAATTGCCTGCATTTTGCCATATTTTTTGTTTAAAAAACATATTAACTTGTACTCCTTCAAAATAAAGACTAGAATAGAATTACTAAATAAGATTGAATGTGGATGGCTACAAAGGTAGAGGAAGACTGAAGAAAGTATGGATGGATTGTGTGAAAGAGGATATGCTTAAGAAATGGACTCAGATATGACGGCTGAGAGATGTATGGAAGAGCAGCACATACTGTGCCGACTATCCGTAAGGGATAAGGGCAAGTGGATGATGATGAATAGAATTACTATTTATTACTTTTGTATTGTTATATTACCGTGGGTTTATAGTGATTTCTCTATCTGTTTTTAAAGACAATGTTATGGACAATATTTTGTATGTGTTACAGCAGTGAGAGCCCACGTTTTGCAGTCATCGTCTATTCCGGAACATTATATCATCACGTACATACTCGCCAATTCGGCACGTGGTTAGAATTGAAATAATGTAGTTTTTGTTAAATTGTTCGAGAATAAATACACAGTACGAAATTTAGTTGGCATCTGTTGTGAATTAAAAAGATAATTGTGGTATTGATTATAATCAGATGTAATATAAAAGGAGCGAACATGTTAAGTTGATGCCAGTCTTTAAATTAAAAAAGATAGATTTATACCAGTTCTTGTAATGTTTTTCTTTAACTGTCATTTTTTATCTATACTAT